GATGATTGGTTTGATCTTCCCTCTTTACTCCTGCTTGTACTGCAATTTGTCGAGATCGGGTATGATGATCGTCTGTGCATGGCTTCGGTGAGCTTGGACTATGACGATGTGGTCTTATTCAGTTACGAGGATTGATGCATGAACCTTTGTCGATTTCTCGTTTCGTTTTTCCTCGGAATTCGCACGGTCCTCGAATGTCGATCAATGCATGGGTATCGGGTCTAGGGAAAATGCGTATTCGGAACTAAGTTATCGAGTGGACCAATCACCCGATTGTTGGTGCGATCCCTGTCGGATCACACAGACACGTAGGAATCTCGGACAGGAATAAACTAGAGCACGTGCAAATAAGCGACTGATTAAACGCGCCCAATTGAACTCCTCCCCTAATGATTGGCCAACCTTTGCGAGCTCTTCTATCTTATTGGAATGCATGTCATTCTTTGGGAAACCAAAAAATTTCGATACATATGTGCATGTCAATTTCCCGTTCTTGCTTTTCTATTCTTTTTCGGATTAAAAGGAAAGGCATGGAGGAAATTCGGCGGTCCTTATTGATGTATGTTTTTTTAATTTATAAACGAATGTTTGATCCAAACGTGTGATTGCCTTCTGATTGCCTTCTGATTGCCTTCATGATGCCTGTCTTTGTATACACGCATTCAAATGTTTAAGTGCCATGTGTCAGGCTAGCACGGCGACTGATTAGACGATTGTCCGACCAGAGAACAACCAGCCGATTTGGCCCGACCGATTGCGAACGTGATCTTGTGCACGCACGTGTAGGCTCAACCAGAAAGGGCGCTACCTACTCGCGTGTCTGCAAGACCCGCATTCAAACCTACGTCTAAATTTGCAAATTTTCGATGGCATGGATAGTAGTACTCCCTTCCACGTCACGGATGGGGAAAGCCTGAGACATCGACGGTTCCGAGAATACTGGGAGTGGAAGAACGTCTGCCTTCTCGCGCGACTCAGACCCAACCCTCCAAAATTCCCTTACCAGACCCGAAACGAACGTGTCTGTGAGTGGGACATTGAACGGGCCTTAAGCGCAATCCCTTTTCCCTCCCAGTTCCCCAGTTCACACGCGAGCCACGTCATCGTGAACCGGGTGTCGTCATCATCGAGACAGACTTCCCTCCTTACCGCCTTGTACTGCCCTTTCATTGCCTAACGGCTGCCCCGTGGCATGCGATCGCCCCCTACTGGCCCCGAACCCCGTGCTCCAAGTGCCAGCAAAACAGCGAGTACAGAGCCGCGGGATTCGTTCGACGAACCCGGACAGAGGCCGAACAACAAACGCACAGCCTTCGTATGAGGCCAGCCTCGTCGGATTCTCAGGCTTGGCACGAGCGACGCCAGCGATTAATCAGAGAGCGCGACACCCATAGCATTCCACCAGTACACCAAATTCGAGACTGGCCTCGACAACGAAACCCACGAGGATGGTGATGACATCCCTCGAGGCGTAAAAACCAGCAGTGATCCGCGCTTACCATCTTGCACAATTGTTCCTGAGACTTTCCACATGAGCTCCCAGTTTCGACATGGGACTCCACCCCCACTATCGTAAAATCCTTGGCACACCCCTTTTCGCACTTCCGGGCCCCCATTTCACTCCGATTAGGAAGTCGCGTTGGGCGTGAGGTTGGTATCGGAGCCAATACGTGGCAGGCTTACGAATTAGTAGAGGGAGTAATTCACGTAGACCGATCTGGTGAACAGAGGACGATCAAGACAGCGGAACGCGCCGTGATGCGATCCTATAGTAACTCAGAGTAGATCGGCTGGTCAGCAAGCTGCCAACATGAATGCCCATCCGACCCTAAATCAGGGTCTGAATCTTGCACCAAACCAGGCTCTGCGACCTCACGCACCTACGGTTCCGCCTGATCTCTATCTTTTCGATCCTGCACATCACTTAGTCGGGGCATGGCTGGCCACACTGTGTGCGCAACAGTACGACAACAATGAAGCTCGAATTAACATCCCCGCCAGATTGGGTGGGGACGCGCACCATTGGTTCAGCACTTATGTTTGGGTAGATCTTCCGACCTTTGATCGGGATTTCTTAAGCCGATTCGATTATATTCATCCAGAACAAGCCCTTTATATAATCAAAGGATGGGTTCAGAAACCACTTGAATCCGTTACGGAGTATCGTAACCGGTTCTATAGGATGTTTATCAAAACACAACGAGGAGAAGAAGTTAGAAGAGATCTGTTTATCGATGGGCTTCGAAGTCGGACCATGAGGGCGAAATTGTGTAAGCAGTTCTCCCCGATCAATCATACCCTACAGCAGATCAGGTCTGCTATGGAATAAATGGAGCGGAAATTGCCGCCATTCGTAGAAGGAGAAGATTACCCCAGAGAGGGAGATTTTTCGGAGTTGGCTAGAGCGAAGGTCGAATTAGCTGCGCTCCAAAACAAATTTGAAAACATGGGTTTCGTGTTTGGTCCTGTCACCTATCTAGAGCAAATCGCAACTAGAAAGCCTGTGTCGGATACAACTCTGGGATTGTCTGTACCCATTATGACCGCTCCTGCGCCTCCCTAGATACTTCGACCACGCCAAGCGAATCGAATGCGATACTAGAACTGAATCGAACCTTAGTTAGCTTGATGCAAGAAAGTAAGAAGGAACAACGTGAACACAACACTAGGATATAATTATTGATGAGATCGATGCATCCCATTGTCGTCAAGGCCGCGCGAGCGCCACAAGGAATCGCCCCCGCTCAGGCCATGGGCGGAGCGGCGGCCAATCTGAACGTTTGTTACAAGTGTCATCAGCCAGACCACATAGTCCGAAACTGCCCACACTGACCTGCACAAGCTCGAGTTGGACTGCCCCTGTGGCCGCTGCACCTGTGGCCAACGGGCCAGGGAAAGGTAGGTACAATGATTGAAGAAATAGAAGGTGGAGGAAGTACGGTAGTCACTGGTCGGACGGGGGTCAGGGCACTGAGCAACTGGTCGCCCGCTCTACGGGGAAATTCAACATAGAAAAAGAAAAAGAAAAATGAAACTTTATGTTGTCATCCTAGGTGGTTAATTGCCTCGGCGGGGGCTGCGGCGAGGTCGTGAGGTTGGGTACACCGGGTCGTGGAGAAATTCATGCTGGTGTGGGGTGAAATGCTCTTCAACACCCCAGCCCACTTAGCTTATTGGTTAAGTGTCCGATTTATGAGTGGAAGATTGCGTGTTTGAGTCCTTCCGACCGAACGTAGGCGCAAGTTCTCATGCAGAGATTAGTGTACTAAACAGTGGTTGATTGCCTCAGCGGTGGCTGCGCCTAGGTAGTGAGGTTGGGTACACTGGGGTGGGGTGAAATGCCCTTCAACGGGCTTCACTTTCGCCCCAGCCCACTTACCTCACTAGTTAAGTGTCTGCTTTATGAGCGCAAGGTCACATGTTTGAGTCCTTTGGACCAAATGTAGTTGCAAGTTCCTTTTTTTTTTTTTTTTTTTTTTTTTTTTTTTGCTCCCTCAAAAATCCAAGGTTGTTGTAGAGGTGGGATACTAGACGGATGACACTCACCCACAGTACTCGGCCACTCGGTTGTCCAGACAAACCCCTCTGAAGACCTCACCCACCCTTCCTCTCATCTTTTCTTATATATAAGACTACTACTAGGTCAGAAACGAGCGGTTGATTGATTCAGCGGTGGCTGCGCCTAGGTACTCAGGCTGGGTACACCAGGTCATGGGTGAGGTGAAATATTTTTTCAACGGGCTTCACATTCACCACAGCCCACTTAGCTTATTGGTTAAAACACCAGTACCTACTACCTAGAGATACTTTTTTCCCTTTTATTTTTTTTAATTTTTTTTTCCTTGTTTTTTTCTTGTGTAACTTTGTTGTACGGGAAACCTACTTAACGAGGTGATAAGAGCATCCCCGGTAAGTAGGTCCCGACTTCGAAGGCTCCATCTATTGGTGGGGAGCTACACCTGCTGGAAATCGGGTCCAGCGTCCTTGTACAATTCTAGAAGTGTATCTGTTGGAAATCGGGTTCAACATCCCTGTATAGTGATGTGGCAGTATCTGCTGGAAATCGGGTCCAGCCCCCTATGCAACTCCACGAACCCTAACCTAGATCTGAGCTAGACCAGCATGGTAAATGTATAGGTGATGTATCTGATGTAAATAAAGTATGTGATGTAAATGAAGTATGTGTACTGTAACTATCAAACTTTAAAGACGAAGCCCTAACACTGATGTGATATGAATTGTATAGATTTTCTCAATCAAGTCGATGTGTGTACGTTTTCCATATTTCAGCTTATATTTCCGAAATGAGCAGAGGCATTGATTACTTCCCTGCGACTGGGAAGGATTAACCTCATGCCCATGAAGTATCATCATATCTACATCCCCTCGGGGGGCGATCGGCAATCGGCAGTAATCGAACGAAGCACATATCCCACACAATGATGTATTAATATGTCCTTTCACACATATTTTCACCAACAATCATCATCAGACGTATCAGGATCAGGAATTGAGGGTTAGAAAGATAAGAGGGGATCAATCCCTAATCAACCCCAATCATCGCAGGGAAATTGCCTATCCTATCCCCACCCGGTGCCAGAAACGAGAAAACAACTTGTCGTGGGTAAACAACAGGCAGGGGTGGGAAGAAACAGTCAGTCGTAACTTCGATCTCAAACCCCAATTCGCCAACTGTGATAAGCAGCAGGTCCCCTCCCCCCCCCCCTGCACTGGTGGCAGCATCTTCCCCATGATGCTGAAGTTAGATGCATCAGCTCCCCTCTCTGCCCCGCTGCTTCCGTGGTTGTCGCCATCGCCGTCATTGCAACTGTTGATATTGTTGTTGTCGTTACAGTTGTTATTGTTGTTGTTGTTGTTGTTGTTGTCAGTATCATCCTTCGCAACCTCCTCACCCATTTCACCCATTCCCTGCTCATCGTCTTTATCGTTATTGTTGTTTACCTACGCCTGTGTCAGTCGCCCAACAACCCCAATCTCACCGTGATCCACCCATTGCAAGCGTGCGGCATCTTCGTCGTCGTTATTGTTGTTGTTGTTGTTGTTGATGATGTTGACACCCTCACCGCGCGCTGCCCCACTGTTGCCATAGTCTCCACCGTCATCCACGTCGGCGTCGGCGTTGTTGTTGATGTTGTTGTTGTCTTCGTCGTCGTTATCAGTGTTGTTAATGTCCCTCTTGCCCTGCACACCCATCCCGCTCTTGCTAACATCATTATGCGTTGTTGTCGTCGTCGGTAGTGTCGCAGTTGCCTTCTGGCCCCACTCCACGTTCCACCTGCCCACTTCACCAAGGCCATATTCCCACTCATCGTGCAGATAATCCGATTCTAATGTGCGCTTCCCACACACCGAATTGATGGCTGCAAAGTAGTCGACGACGTCATCGTCCTCCAGCTCGCCTGTTTCGCCATTGACAACATCTTCTTCTTCCTGCTCATCGTTACCACTTACCTCATCCACGTGGAATGCGCAAAGGTTTGCGAAGTAGTTGACCACGTCCACCTCATCGTGCCCATCGTCCTCTCTATGCCAGGTGTCATTATCAGTATCGAAGGTCTCTGTGTAGAAAAAGCTATGTCCGTATTGCAGCTCTCTGACCAACTTCATCATGTTTCCGAAGTGTTGCGCCGCCATGTTTATCGTCGTCTTCACTCTCTGCTGGCGGTACCCTTGTCCGCGCGTCATGGACAGCCACGTTGCCAACAGCAGACGCCACGTGGCCAATCAAGGAGCCACGTGCGTATGTTGGGCGCGCGCACAGGCCCAGCGTCCGAGGAGCATACCTCCTCAAGCGCTGGTCGAGCCTAGGAACCGGGCCTCGCCGGTCCGCCAGGTGCCGGGGCGCTAGCGCTAGCGCATCATACTCCCAGTGTACCCCCTGTCCCTACTATCCTACATCAGTGTGAGCCTCTGCTTACCGATACGCTGATCCTCGCTGAACCTGCAGTAACTGGTAGTGGGGTGGGAGGGGGGGAGGAAGCAAAAAAACAAACGAGATGCATCTTCAGAAAAGAAAAGAAAAAAAACACTTCCCCGTTCATCGCTTGTGCAGGTGGGAGAAGGGTGGGTTCATAAGAGAGTCACAACAGAGAGAGAAAGAGAGAGATCACACACACACACACACACACACACACACACACACACACACACACAAACATAACGAATATGAAAAATGAAAAGGAATCTTCCCTCTGAAGGCGGGTAGATTCATTCTAATTTTTCACTAGCTATAGTATCTCGCCGCGCCCTCTCCGCGCCTCTCTCTCTCTGCAAGGAAAATGAGCGATAGCGAACTTCAAAAACCAAGCAGCATCATATACAAGAGACCAGATAGTCATGACCTCGAACCAAAAGCAGAATTGCATCACGAGTCCACCAAATAATAGTACAACAAAAACTCATGAGTGACAATGTTTGAGTAGTCTCATCATCATCAACAAAGAACCAATGTCGACATCCTATCTAGCGCTAGGCGCCCAGACTACAAATGGCAGATTCTATCTAGCCTATCTACAATGTCGATGGTGACGTCAACAGCTCCCCGAAGTACGAGCAGATCTTGGCCAATGTCGTACGCTTCAAGCACCAGGTATGTCTCTCGTATCACTCATAACCTCGTTCCACTACTCACGGATGCCCCATGCACCCAAGGACCACCATGCGCCTCATCTAGCATACAGTAGCGCATCTCGGCTATGGCTGCCTGCTCCTTCCAGCTCGCCCGTGAGCGTCTGAGCGTTGGCCAACGTTACCGCAGTAGCGCTTGCGCAACATGCACCCAGTGCCCGAATGTCAAATGCGTGGGCAGGCCCTTTCCTAAATGGAAGTGGCCTGCCTGCTTGCATGCAGCTTGGCTGTTTGGGACCCTGCCCAAAAGCTTCCGGTAGGCCCAGAGAGGCTGAGCCCCAGTCCAAACAAATGAGACCCTAGGCCTATGGTGGTTGCCCGTATCCAACTGTCCGCGGCCTGTGTTCAGTCCATGTTGCGAATCTGGCCCAGGGCCTGCCTCAGTTACATGGGAAAGAGGCAGCCTAGGCTTGGGCGCTCTCAACCAACTGGCGTTGCGCAACTGCCTGAATTTCCCCAGTTGCGTGGTGACCCCCAAAATGGTCTATAGGCCTTAGTCGAGCCTGCCTTCACTTAGGGCGACCGACTATGTTGAAAATAGGGCCCAGTAGGGCGTATTGAGGCCGTGTGCCTCGCATTCCCTCCTCCATACTTCACTAGTCCTCTGAGAAGGTCAGTCTTCGATCATTTGGCGCTTTCCCTCCTGCAGAGACTTTTCATATTGAGCCACAGCCTGAGGAGCGGTCTGCATCAGTTCCTCCCTGGTAAACCATGGATCCTCCTTTGGATCAGTATGATGTTTGAACCAAACCCGGTACTGCAGCTCTGGTTTTGAAGGACGTCCCCTGCCTGTCGGTCTTGGAACTGGTATTTCCTTGTGGTCAATGATGTCATCAATGTCGACCTCTCCATCCATGGTTGGGGGCAGCATTGAGCGACGAGGGGAAAACTGATCTGTTTCCCTGAAAAGTGCGAGTTTGGAAGCGTGAAACACAGGGTAAGTACGTAAGTGACCAGGGATGCGAATAACATATGATGGCCCATCCGGTTCATCCCCAACAACATCGAGGACCTCCCATGGTCCAAAGTACTGTGGCATGAGCTTGCGGGAGATCCCGTGCTCCTGTCCCATTTCTGAGGACTTAACCCAGACTCTCATACTTGAAATGTAGATGGGCGGCGGTGCTTGTTCTCAGACTCTATCATTGTCGCCTGTGCCTTGTGCATCTATTCAACAGCCTGCTGCATCGGTCGCTCATACCGATAAGCAAACTCTAAGGTTCCTAGTGCAGCAGAAGACTGGTTCTCGGGCAGTAAGAAATCCAAGGGCAGTTTGGGCTTAAAGGTCAGCAACAAACTGTTCGGGCTCACTCCCGTTATGATGTGCACAACATTGTTGTACAGGTTGGCGATGAGAGCAAGTTTCTCATCCCAGTCTACCTGATTTGGCTTGATGTAGTGTCTCAGCAGGTGTTGTACAGCACGGTTCAACTGTTCTGCTTGCCCATTCGCCTCCGCATGGTTCCCTGATGTCATCTGCAGTTGCGACTTTCTACAGTTCACTAGTGAATCGCACATCACGGTCACTGACTATAGATTTTTGGCAGTCCAAAATCTCTGACACAGTTCTCTTTCAACAACTTAATTACGTACTCAGTTTTAACTGTTGCAGGCATTGCAACTAACCTAGCATACTTGCTAAATCTATCCACAATGACGTAGACATAGCGCATTCCACTCTTGCTAGTGACTAGCGTATCCATGAAGTTCGTGGACAGGCTCTCACCAGACTTTTCTGGAATCCGAAGGGGATTTAGAAGCCCAAGAGGAGCCTGTGTACGTGGCTTTTCCCTCTGACAGACCTGACAAGTTTCCACGTACAGCTTGGCGTCTCTCATCATCGTGGGCCACCAGAATCGCTGCAGCAGATTGGCTGCTGTTTTTTTGTAGCCAAAATGTCCGGTGGCATCGTGACACTCACATAAAAATAAACTACGCAAAGACTCTCCATCCGGCACACACAATCATTTATTCCCGGCCTTCTCAAGGAACAGCAGACCGTTGACAAATTCAAACTCGGCAGAAGTCACCTTATCCTTCGCCTCGAGTCTGCGTATGATCTCGGACATGAACTGGTCCTCGCGATAGGCTTCCGCCAAAGAGCAAGTGACATCGTCTGCAAGCTCGAACTCAGTGATCAGCGCACCAGAGAAGTCAGGCCTATGCGGTAAGGCATCGGCAACTTTGTTGTACTCCCCTTTCAGATACTGCGGTTCGAAGTCATATTGTTCAATGACTTCGATCCAACGCTTCAATGAATTAGAGAGCACTGGCTGGGTTCTCATCCACTTCAGGGTCTGATGGTCAGTCCTAACGATGAAGAACCTTCCAAGGAGGTAATGTCTCCAATGGGTCAGTGCCTTGTAAATTGCGTAGAGCTCCTTCTCATAGGTGGACTTAGCCAACTTTTGAGACGGCATCTTTTTGGACATGTACTCGATTGGCCTAAACTTTGGCCCCTCCTGCTGCATGAGCACGACACCAATGCCGTATTGGTTGGCATCTGTGGTTACTATGAACGGCTTGTCAGGATCAGGAAGTTTTAAGACCTTATGGTGTGTCAACACGTGCTTCATATGTCTAAAAGCAGCCTCACACCTGTCTGTCCACTCCCACGGGGTATCAAGGCGAGTCATGTCAGTCAAAGGGGCGGCCACTATACTATAGTTCTTAACAAAGTTATGGTAGTAGTCGGTCATCCCTAAGAAATCCCAATCGCATTTCTCCCCGTTGATCTTAAACTTGTGCTTCCGAAGGAGACTGAGGACTTTGTCTAAGTGCGCAACATGCTCCTCGTTTTTCACTAGAGCTTGGAAGCCTTTTCATAGCATAATCAATGTCGGGGATCAAGTGGGGGTATAGTCTTAGGTGCTCACATGGGGTGAAGATAACTAGTGCGTTAGGTTCTATCGGGGTATGGTTTTTCTGCATGGTAGTTAGAAAGGTAGTTTGACATGTTAGGCTGTAGTCATTATAGATTCTTTAGTTTGTTTATGGGATAGTAAGGGAGTGGGTGGGAGGATTTGGGGTCGGGATATTAGGGGAGGGTAGACGCGCACGTTTGAGAAGTGTCAGTCACTTGTTGTGGAAGGTTTGGGGTGAGTTGTCAGGGGTAGTTTTATTGGGAAAGGGGGGGAGGGTTTTGGGGTTATTCAGTATCTGGAACCATCAGTGAAACATGTGGACATTGAGACAGCCGCAACACCAACAACAGTGATATATCAGGGAACTTGGAACTAAAAGATAATCAGATAGGATAGTACAGTCATTTGGGGGGCGTGAGGTGTAAAAGGGTGGTCCTAGCACAGACATTCTACCTCATAGGTGCTTTCACGACTGGGTGCAAGTATGCCTTCCGGTGGGAGCATTAGGAGGGTTAGAAAGAAGTGAGTTTACCCATCTTTTTTCACTGTCGCTGCCTCTCAGGCCTCCTTTTTGGGTGCCTGGGGGGATACCCCCATTCCCCAGCTTTCTTCTATTTATTTTTCTCTTTCGACCTTTGTCTTTCTACTTGTCGGTGATTAGCAACCGGACTGATGCCCCCCATAATAGATGGGGTTGTGTGTGTTGTGTTAAAAAAAAAAAAAAAAAAAGGTGCCAGGAGCATTGTAGAGGCCAAAAGGCATCACCACAAACTCGTACAAACCGTACATGGTCTGAAATGCGGTTTTGTGTTGATCATCGGGCCGGATTGCAATCTGATGGTACCCGGACTTCAGATCTATCTTACTGAATTACCAGCACCCTTGCACTCTATCTAGCAAGTCATCGATGTGCAGTAGGGGCTCTCGGTTCTTGACAGTGATGGCATTGAGGCCCCTATAGTCAATGCACATCCTCAGAGTTCCCCCCTTCTTCGGCACAAATAAGATTGGAGATCCGTAAGGGGAGAGACTCGACTGGATCCAACCATTTTCTACGAGTTCCTTGAGTTGTCGACGAAGCTCATCAAGTTCGCCTGGAGATATCCGATAGATCCTACCCTTCGGGATGCTAGACCCTGGGATAATTGACGACCTCCCTCTCAACAACCCCTTTCGGCTCTTCAAATAGATCAAGGTATTTAGCAACTACTCCCTCTATCTTCGATAACATTTTCACCACCTCGCTTGCTGAAAAGACATAAACTAGATACATACCCTCCTCCGGATTTTGCTTATAATAGTTATTGAAAGCGGCCGCACACATGCATCCA